AATGTCAGGTGGGACCTAACTTGGTGTACCTAAGATTACAGATGCCCAAAACCCAACTGATCGGCAAGAGACAGTTATTGTAACACAGATATAATTTCCAAAATTCGTCGTCTGTGGGAATTGAACCCTAGACCTGACACTTGAGGGTTGACAACCTATCCACTTCACTAGGTCGCCACATCCTGAAATTTTTTTTTTTTAAAAAACCCATCCGGTTATTAAAATATATAAAAAAATTTTTTTAAAAGCTTTTAAATTTTGACTTGGCCAGGTTATAAAAACTAATTAATTAATTTTGTATAGTCTAATATTTTAATTTTTTTTTTACTTTTACTAAAGCTGTTGGTTATTGGCAACTATTGTCTTTATTGTGATTTAATTATAGTTATATAATTTGTACAAAATAAGTATGCAACTAGCCATATATACAGTTTTTAGCTATCTATTTAAGTAGTTTGTTTGCAAGTTCTACACTATCTGTTATACTTGCAATCCATTAGAAGATTATTTAATTAAATACTTTAATCTTTATATTATATCTAACAAATAGCTATATAAGTTTCTATACATTTAAGTATTATTTAATCTAACTCTAATCTCTTTATCTGTACATCTGTTAAACTATTATATATTTCAGAGTATATTACTTAATTGTAAAATTTTAAAGAATCTTTTTGATAACTAACTACCTATATTTAGTCATTGTTAGCAAAGCTTATTTTTGCAAAGTTTACCTAGACCTAGTAACATTTTATAATATATTCTTAGTATTTATAATATACTTTTTTTGATATAAACTTTCAATACAGATAGTCTAAAAGGACTGTAACCTGTCTTTAATATACTGAAGTTTTGTCATCTAATATTTTTTTTTTCTAGTTTGAGACTTCTAACAATCTGATTGATGATATCTCTTATTCAAGTCTTGTTTATATACTTCTTTCATATTTGTATCTGTTTTTTAGATCTAGTTTTTATAATAGTATTGTCAAAAATTTATATTATCTCTCTATTTAGATCTTTTTTAAATAGACTTCTTGTTTTCTAATTTTAACAGATTTACATAACCACAAGGACTTATCTAGTATTTGTACTGTCCAATGCCAGTTTATATTTTTTTGTATAATTTATTATATAGATACTCTATAATCTGTTAGTTATGCTAATGTGACTATCATTACAGATATCTTAACCTAATCATTAGAAACAGTTGTTATAATACAAATATTATATAGGTGATTATTCAAATTTTTACTATTGATAGAATTTGAACATCTAACCTACTACTTAAAAGGTTAACAACTTATCTACTTTACTAAGTTACCACACTCTTAATATTTTAATTTTAAATATTAATTATTTTAATGTATTCATAATTTGTTTCAAATAATCTGAAACTTTTGGTTAAGTAGATCTTATATTATTTTTGATTATTTTTCAAGTATAGTATAATTATTTAATCCAACTAGTTACTAAATATTTATTTAATAAATATGCATTATTAGTTAAATTAAGCAAAAATATTATTTGACTTAATATAACTAAATAATTAAGAAATAATATTTAAATAAAGAAATAAAAACAATAATCTTAAACTAAACTAAAATAACTAAATAACAAAATAAACTAAAAAATATCAAAAATAACTTAAGTATAAATCAAAAATATCAATATATATATATATATTGCTTGTTTAACAATACTTTAAAATTTTAATTCAACTCATAATATTGAAAAATCAAAGAAATAAATCCTTTTCTGCTTATTTTATACATATTGTGTATCAAATTATTTATCTGCATAAAATACAATTTATTGTATAAATTTAATTACATTTATAAAGTTAACAAAAAATATAAATATAGTTAGTTTTATTCACTGCATTATACTACGTAATATAAATCTAAACCGATTTGTAAATTATAAGCATTACACCATGCGCGTTATTTTGAAAATACTCATTTTAGAAAATTGTCTTTCCATTTCGGAATTACGCACAGATGAATAAAGTAACACGCCGCAATGGTGCGTTATTTTATGATTATACAATGCGTACTATTTATCAATTTGGGGTGAGTCAGTGGAGACCAAGGCAAATTTTTTTCTAATAAATTTTTTAAAAATTTGAGCAAGAATCAACTTGATTTATTCCGTAAGTTTGTAGAATTTATTTAAAAAAACTTTTGCAAATCTGATTTTTAGCGCTGGATAATTGTAATATTAGTTTTCCATATTTAGTCAGGAAATCTGTCCGTACGTAGAATGTATATTACGAACCTAATAAGAATCTAGATTTGTCATACAACATTAATTTCTTGGTTTCATAATTCGGTTCGGCAACTTATCGGACGGGTTATGAAACCAAAAAAATTTATTTCGTGTGGTCTAATATAAAAAATTTATAGATACCATCTTTAAATTTTTTCCTATACTATAACAAGCATTTTGTGCGGAAGTGGATCTCTATTACAGACTAGAAAAATTCTCCAAGCGCATATACACTCCTCAATTTATGGTGTGCAGTTTAGGACTTTAAAAAGCTGCGAATTTAACCCGTATATTTTACATGAGAGCTATAATAAAAAGGGGATCTTTTAATCAATGCGATACGGTAATCATGGTATTGGGAAATGAAAAGTACAATATGTATGTATGTACGTATTTATTTTTTTGAAAGATGTAAAGCCAGGAGAATAACCCCTTTCGATTGGTTGATTCTAATTACCACCAATGTAAGTGTCCACACAAATAATAAACAAACACGAATTAATCTATGCTGAGCATGAGGCTGTGCATCATTTCCTTTGGGAAAATTCATGATGTACAGATGTACATACTTAAAAATATCTACGTAATTTGGTTAATTATTTGATTACTTTCTTTTTTTCTTACCATAAAAAAAACTCTCTAAATATATATTTTATAATGAATCGTATCCTGTGGTCGTTATTTATAAGAATTTTTATCATTCTGTCAATACTAAATGAAATCAGAGCAAATGAGAATACTTTAGTAAGGTTTCAACTGAAGATTGTTCATTTTTTTGAAGAAAATTTTGCTTAAATATCATTTTTTAATCAAAATAGTCTAATGATGCTCTTTATCGACAACGATGTTCTGGGATGTACTTTAAAAATGACATTCCGGGAGGTGGATCTGATTCAATAATTACTGGTGAACATTTTGAACATTTCTGAAAATTGAATAGATTGAAATTAATTTTATATAATAACTTTTATAACACGATGTAATGTATTATATAATTAGTAAAATACGATAAAAAATCAAATACAGATGTGGCAGTAATCGTATATGAATGGCCCGATAATGAAAATTTTGGGTATCCTGTTGATTCCGGAGCAAATGTAATTGTTTTTCAATTATTATTTTCTTCTTTTTATTGTACTGGTTTAATAACCTAAAAAATATAAATTACTAGAAAATATATATTTGCGATCAAAATGCGATAGCAGCAAACTATTGCCCCCAATCACAACTTGGAGGCTTCATTGTCACTAGCAATAAAACGTCGAGTATTGTTACTCATGTATTTAACACTACGAAAAGTGGGCAAAGTTTCACATATACTATCAACCGAACTGGATATTACTGTGTTGCAGCGTAAGGCATAACGCTTTTTTAAATTTGATTTCTATAAATTCACCATATAACATTTTTTTAAATATAAAATTTAGACTTCCATCCCCTATAACTGATCAGCGATTTCTTGTAACTGTGGATTGGAAAAACCCATATGGAGAATTACCTGCTTTGGATTATCCTAAATTGCCGGTATTTTCTCGGAAAATTTCATTGATTCTGGTTCATTATTTTGAAATTTTTTTTTTACTAACTTTTAAACAGTTTTATGGAGCTTTGTCACTTGTCTATTTACTTATTGGAATCATATGGATGGTACTTAGCATAATTCATAGGCATGATCTCTTACCAGTGCAGGTACAGATTTATTTAATTTATTTTTTATTATTTTTTTCTTGGCAGTTGATGTTCAATTGCTCATATAATTTTGATTCTAGCACTACTTATCAGGTGTAATTCTATTTATTATTATCGAAATGGCCTTTAATTGGGGATATTGGGTGAATTATAATGCGTACGGAGATTCATGTAAGTTACATTTGCATGATTCTTTAGATCAAGCAGAGCTCACCATTTGTTTTATCTTTAGCAACATTCCTGCTTTGCCTGGTTGCTGTACTAAACGCCGGAAGAAATTCTATTTCATTCTTTATGCTGTTGATTGTCTGTATGGGATATGGTGTTGTCAAGTAGGTTTCTTATCAAATATTCTTAATTCAATGCGATGAATCCGACAGTAAATTCATATTTTTATGTTTTATAGACCATCCCTTGGTAGTACAATGACTAAATGCCGTGTGTTGACTTTAGCGCATTTTGTCTTTGGTGTTGTCTATGCTGCTGGTACATTGCTTATAGATCCTGATACTGCAAGTCCTCTCGTGTTCCTGGTCATTTTCCCTCTAGCTTTGACAATGACTACATTTTATGTCTGGACTCTTCAATCAATCACAAATACACTTCAAACTCTTGAAATTCGTCGACAAACCGTTAAAGCTTTAATGTATAAACGGCTATATAGACTTTTAGTTTTTTCGGTATCAGTCCTTGGTATCTTCTTTCTCATTAATACGTTCAATTACGTACATCGAGAAGATCCTGACTGGATACCGGGTAACTGGCAAAGGACATGGTTTTTGTTGGACGGATGGTTGAATATCTTATATTTGATCGTGTTCTGTGTAATTCTTTTCATCTGGAGACCAACAGAAAACAATAAGAGATATCCTTTTAATATATTTTCAAATATTGATAAAATCCAACATTCATTTTTTTTTTGTTCACTATCTTTAACTTAAATTTTTATTTTACATTTGCGATGAGTGAGGAATTAACGCAAGAGGACGATTTCGATACGGAAAGGAATAGTAGTCGTCTATCGCAAAGTCCAATTTATGAGCAGGAAAAGTATGGAGGTGATCGCGGTGAAACGGAACGATTACACGATGATGATGATGGATCTGTGGTATTTGATATAGGCGACGAACATGATGAGAAGTCAACTTTAAGAGAAAGTGGAGAAATTAGTAATGCTAGTCGTGAGATGTTGTCTAGGTATAGTATTGAATTTAAAAAAATTCATTGTTAATTCAGAATTATTAATTATTATTATTGCTATTAGGCATAGTAATGAAGAAGAGACGAATAATTATCAGGATGTTTCAACAACGGATTAAATATATATTTCAGTTTTTAATTAAAGATTCATAATCGAAAAGATTTCATAATACCCCTCCAGCATATTTGCATCCAAAATAATAGGTAAAACATTCAAGGTCATATTAGAGGCATCTCTTTTTTCATACACCACCTTTTGTTAAATCCAACGCCCAAAGGACATAGTGTTGATATTTTTTTTTACAATGTATTTCATTACCCTTCGTTTATGATCTCAGTTCAATAAAATTTGGGCTATTACTAATCCAGTGTTAGCGAGATGACATCTGAATATAACTTTATTTATTTATTTAAAAATTCTTTTTTTTTTAAAAAAAAATTTATCTATGCTTTTTCCTATACTGTATCTTCTAAAAAAAGAATATGTTCCTATACTAGTCTTTAGTACACCTGATTTATAATTAATTTATGCAGATTTAAAACTTCTTCATTTAGATACATAGACTCAGTACATCAGTACAAGTTACCCATTATAGTGAACTCAGTATATATAGTGAAGATTGGCTTATGGCGAATTTTCTTAGAACAAAATCTTATTAATAAATGTGGCTGTTTATGCTGAGATTTTGGCCTATTTTACTTTAAAATTTAAAAGTTTTTTGGACCTTCTTGATCTATTTTTCATGTGTATTTTAGTGATGAAATTACATAGTATTTTCGTCTTGAATCGTTAGAAAATATCAATATCATAGTGTTCATGCAATTACATAATATTTTCGATTGTAATTGTTAGAGTTTATTATAGTAGCGAAGTAATTGGTTTTTTCCGACGAGGATTGGTAACCAAAATTCAATGTGATTAAGGTGATGGTGCTTATACAAAAATCAATTTTCTTATGCTTTATAATAATTTTTATTTATAATTTTTAGCTATATCGATGTTAGAACATATCCAAAAGCTTGGCTAATAAAAATTACATAAGTGCGTACGGAACACTAGTACGTATTAACGCACTCTTATCTGGTTTAAAAGAAATGTGGCTTTTTATACTCATTCGAATTTTATGATTCTTCATCAAGACCCTTAATTAATTATTAAGAGAATTATCTGATTCTTGAAGAGAACCTGAGGAGAATTTTTTAAGATATTCATTCCAATTTGCAACCGACAAGTTTGATAAGATTTTTTCCAATAACCTTTAAAAAATCAACAATTGTTAAATATTATTTTAATTACCGTAAACTGCCGTATAAAAGATCCGAGTCTCTTACATTCCACCAAAAAAATTAGTAAAAGATGAGGGTGGGTCTGATATATAGGGGATCTTGTATACGGCAGTTTACGATACCTTTATTTATAAAAAATTTTCAGAATATCAAATTTAATACTGTATATTACCGAATATAAGCAATCAACCTTTTTTTTTATCCATAGTAAGGGTTGCTTATATTCAGATACAATTTGTTAGTAAAACATAGCCTTCATCAAAGTTTTAGCGCCAAATTTGGAGGGATGCTTATATTTGGTAATGATAATACATAATCATTTATATATATTTGCAAAATCTTACAATCATCTTTTGTTTTGACGAAGAAAGTTCTAAATATTTTGTCATTTACCTTCTAAATGACAACGTGACTTTGTTTGTCATTTAAAAGTACCCTAGGGATAGTGTAACTTCAGGTGTATATGATCAATATTATACATGTGGCCGAAATGTTTAGACCATTTCGGCAGAAACTTTTGGTGTTTCGGCAGACTCTGGAATTTTCGAAAATCCGTACTTAATATATAGCCGAAACTTCCAGAATCTACCGAAATACCAAAAAGTCTTGCCGAAATACGAAAAGGGCTTGCATAAGGTTTTACGGATCTGGCTTAACATATATGAAGCCTAATTTCTATTATATTTACAAATTATTGATAACTTTGCTTTGAACATTTGCCAAATGGCCGAAATGGTCGAAACATTTCGGCACATGTATAATCAATAATACCATTTTTCTTTTTAAGTTTCCATTTTTGATGGTTTTTTACTAAATTTTCAGACGCGGGTTTTAGATTTACTTAGCTTTAGTGAAATATAAAACACGTCTCATATAGTGCGAGTAACACACAAGTTCATAAATCATAGTATAATTCATCAAAATTACACCTATAATTGGGAAGCTTTTTCAATTGTAAAAAAGGCAGATTTAGTGCTAGCCATATTGATAAATGAAAACAAAAAAATGAAAACACATTGGTGAAAGTCATAATAAATTTCTATAAGTTTAGACGTGAAAACATATCGGCGAAAAATAAAATTCCTTTAAGTTTTAGACGTGAAACACATCGGTGAAAGACAACGATAATAAATTCCTATAAGTTTTAGACGTACTAGCGACACACAAAGATACGACAAAAGGAGGTTGATTCGTGGTAAACAAAAAAATGGCAAGGCACGCGAATAAACATATTAATATAAGTCAATCAAATATCGAGTGATCTAGGACAAGTTTATTATACTGAAGACTCAGAGAAGTAAACATGAAATTTCTTCCTTCTGATCCAAGGTTATTTCCAGGAAGATTTAAGGAGTGTGTCTGCAAATATATTTCTTCATGATCCAAGGTTGTTATTTCGTGCAAATATGGCAACGACAAAACGCAAAATTTAAGTTCGCGAACTTATTATCCCTCAAAAAAGTTACGTCACCAGCTTTAAATTTAAAATGAAGCTTAAGGTATCAATTTTATTGTATCATATCGGCTGATTTTGATAAAGAAATCCAATCTCCCTAGTACCTCATTAGGCATATGAAATCATATATAATTGACGTACACTAATCCGGGGAGATTGGATTTCCTTACCCAAATCAACCGATATGTAATACGATGTCAAAACTTATCGATTGCTTAAGAAAACCAAAAACTTTTAGTCACTGTGATTGATTGAGTGCTGCACAGGTTACGCGGTGAGTCAGGTTGAATTGTAGCTAACCCTGGTAGAAAACTTGCAAAATTCCAAGTATTAGTTGACATTTCGTTTCTATGAGCATGAAGGTTATCTGGTACAAAATGGACATTTGTTTAACACAGGATGACAATTTTGCGCATATGCCATCAATAACGCCTGGTATTTTGTCTTTAATAGTGCCTATGTCTATAATGGTTTACACCCTTATGCCTATGGGCATAAGGCACTAGTTCCTGGCATAATTCCTATATGCTCAACATTCATAAATATATATATTTGTCACAGTGTTTTAAGTCTTTAAATATTCATTATTAAATTCTGTAGTTAATGTTTTAAGCATTACTTTAAATGACAGAATGTATATTCGTTATATTTAAATTATTTCAATCATTGAATATACCTGATCTATTAAAAGGGATTCATTCGATTGCATTTTTGTATTTGCAGCATTAAGCAAAGATTGTATTAGTTGCAATATGTACATTTCTATTCTAATTAATTCTTTTAATTAATTCTTTTAGACCAAATTTATCTAATACCAACATATATTCGTAATTATTTTATAGAGACTTTACCCTTTAATTGACTTTTTAATTGCATATGATTTCTAAAAAATATATGCATTTGTTGCTTAAATACTCTATACATAAACTTCCTTTAAAATGTTTTTTGGAATAGATACTTAATATATTTTTAAAATTCGGTATAACCTGTTATAACCTGTTTAGTTGGAATCTACTTAAGTAGGTTTTAAATAGAAGTTTGCATAAAACAATTTACCTTATTAGAATTTTTTATATAATATGATATCAAAATAGCAATCACATTAAAAGATTAAAAATTATAATATTACGGTATACAATTTGTAAAAAAACAGATCTACATTTAATAATATTTTGCAATTAGTGTTAACAATACTATCGTTATTTAACAAAGGAAATTTAAGACACGTTGTTGCGTCAAGAAACCAATGAAAAGTTGTGCTTAAAAATGATAATGCAATAATAATTACTGTAAATAATATATAATGATTTGATAGATAACAGATAATAGTATCAGTGTTCAAAAAATTATACGTAGATCAACCTGACCACAGTTGGATAAGATTTATTATTTGGGGCGAACACAAATTTGGGGCGAACACAGTGCTTGATATAAAGTATCAACCTTGATTGATCTGCAATATGTACTTTATTCGTCTATAAATTTATAATTTGATTTGATCACATCAATAATAATATTTTGCACAACTGATTAACCAATTTTTTTGGGGGAGTTTGTTTTGCATATATCTCCATTTCTGGCGATTACTGGTTTATGTTTGGCGTGTGTATCATGTGTGGATATGATTGTTTTGGAAAAAAAATCGATCATTTAGTTTGAATACTACTTAATTCAAGATAATACTCTATCAAAAAAAAAATCAATTTCCATGTTAAAAATGTCTATTGTTTTTTTTTCACCCCATTCTTTCTTATTGCCGGGTTGTTTTATGAAACCTATAAAAATAACAAAAAAATAGCTATCTTTCATGCACATATAGAATTTTTTTCTTATCGTACAATAAGTTCGTCATGTCTCCCCGAGCAAGCTCAAACCTGGATTATGAAGGTTATTTCCTTCTAATCATGATTTTTATTATTATGGAACATTCTTTTAAAATCTTTGTAAATTAATCAATTCAATTGAAATTTTTAAAATTTCAGGAATTAGAACATTTCGCAGGGTTGAAGTAACGGAATCAAGACAGATTATCCAAAGAAGTATCAACGGCACAATATACTCTAAAGATCAACCATGGTATATTATTATTGATAATAAAGTATATGATATTAAAGATTTTGTACCTAATCATCCTGGTGGTGCTCCTATTTTGACGCATATTGGAAAGGATGCAACAGGTAATCACGTGATCGTCTTGCACGCCGTAGCAGTACGTACTTACAATAATTATTAATGTTTATTTTTTCCAGATGTATTTTATTCTTTCCATCCGGAAAGTGTACATGATTTATTGGCAAATTATTATGTTGGTGATATAACCCCTGAAGATATAATTCTACCAAAAGGCATGCATGTCTTGTACATTAATTATATGTG